GCTTAGGGAGAACTCGGCTTGCAATCTAGATTTGTCAGTATCTTCCTGTTTTCCGTTTTCCCCAGAAGCACGATCCTCGAGTAATTGAACTTCCACCTGCTCCTCAAATTCCATCGTTGTAAGGTGTCGAACACAACACCTGTTATAAGTATACTGAGACTGGGATGCTCGTAATCACTGACCATCGATCCCATATTTCTGTAGGCACGCCAATATCAGCATGCGAAAAATCCGGTCATATGCTAACTCCAAGTCTACAAAGCACAAGTAAACCGGTTCATCGAACTCCTTTTAATTTCAAAACAGTCCGACGCAGAACGAAAATCTGGTCAGAAGTGCTTCAGCCTTGGCGAAACTATACTGCGCTTCTTAGTTCTTGGAGTCAGCAATTCGGCGGCATCTTTCTAACACCTTTGCTTAGGCTTTTCCCGTGAGGCTGATTAATGTATTCTCCCAATAATTGGAACACTTCTCATGATCTCTCTTTTTGAACTTGTTGCCACTTAGTTTAAGAACTCTGTCTATTATAGCTATAACTGCTCCCCTTTTACTGTTTGTGGTTATGCAAAAAAAATTCAGGTATTTACGTGTATTAGTAGGCTTGCGATTATCTTTACTTTTATAGCTTCTATAAGAGTTGATTATCGGGGTATCAATGAAGAGAAGACTGGAATTATTTTTTAACATTAAACTCTACGTTCTGAGGCCGCTGCGAGTGACGATGGCTTTTGTTTCATCACATTTGGAATAGACGGCATACAAAGGCATGTTATCAGCAGGTCTTTCTTCTCATGAACTACTGCCTATCTTGTCTGGTACACTTGGGGGAGCATGCGTAATGACAGGTACTCGCAGACCTCATGGAATCAAACTCTTCACAAAGATTCAGTTCTACATGTACAGCATGTTTATTATCAACGGGATACTCTTCCTACTGACTTTACATGACATAAACACGAGACGTCAGTAATGATTCGTTTTTTCAGAGTAGTTTTTTATGACAAGTGGTTTAGGAAATTGCACAGGACGAGCGAGGTAAGCAACTGTCAGCTTTGTTTTTCGTATTTTTTCAGTTAGTTTAGTTTACTTTCACTTTTGTCATATCTCGTTGATATTGTACCCCGTGCGCTACTAGACCGTGGCTTTACGTTGATACGCTGGTGTTTTAAATTTGTTTTTTTTGCAAGACGTCTTGCCATGATGAGGTGACATTCCAGGTCATTGATTTATACGAATCTATGGGGAATTACTCGCACAACAGTACTTAAGATCCTGTGTACAACTGCCTTTAAGCTTTAGCTTACTGCTTTAGCTGACTGGCGATGCACTGATTTATATCATTGTGAGAGCAGGGGACTTCAGGTTTTGGAAACTTCCTTTCTTCACAAGGAGTATCTTATAGTTTCCAGAGGATTTCGTGCGCGCAATGGCGACAAAAAGACGGCGTGATTCGTCATCGGAAATTGTGCCAAAGTTCGTCACTGACGAAAAGACTCTTGTGAATTTGCACAAGCGAGTGATCACCGCTGTTCAGACGTACCACCGATCGTTTGCGCAGTACGAAACGACGCTTCGTCGAGCATTGCATTTTGAAGACGTGGCGAAAAGCGAACAGAACACGTCGCACGTCTTCTTGCATGCGAAAGACGGCTCCTCCAATTTCTTCACCAAGTACTTGTACACACCAACAGTGGGTATGAAAAGGCCTCATTCGTTTCTGTTTCTTGGCTTAATTCTTGAGTTTCAGAGTGGTACTGGGAGTGCATGTTGAGAAGGTACATGCTGAAGGGCATCGGCGCCATGGCAGCCATTATGTCAGCGGTTATCGTGTGGTCAGAGCTCACCTTTTTCAGTGTTCATCCACCGCTGTCACTCACCGCCATCTTTGTCATGCTCGCAGCTCGCAACGAAGATTACTTTTACATCGAGGTATGCGAGCTTTAAAAAAAACACTGTCCAAAATATGCCCTGCACGTTGCTAAACTTCTGTTTTAATTATACGCTTTTTAAAGTTAATGTATTTGGTTAGTTATGTTTAAATATATCATTCCGGGATGTCACGTACTGGAAACCACGCATACATAGATTTTACTTACACGTTTAGGTGCATGCTCAATTCTTCTTCAGAGCAATGATAAAAACGTAGCGATATACTGTTATACGGATTTCTTTAAACCGGTATGATTGATGGTATTACACTTTTAATTAGTCTAATGCGTCGGTTTGATGTTTTGCCTCCATGTATCACTGAAAACCCATCCGTGGTAGCAATAGACGCAGCTGAAGGCATGAATGAACAATCTCATATCTCCTATCATCCATTTTCCAGATGTAGACTGCATGATGGGTTATCCGTGAGTTGTACAGTGCGCAGATGTTTAAAATAAATTTGAGACGGTTACCTGCTCAGTCATTTCAAAACTGTAACGTGTCTAAATGGCCATCTAGGTGCTTAAGAACATAGAACAGAGCAATATGTTGTCAAGTTCGATTATCGAGGATTTGTACATCAATTAGTATACTCTTGTGTGCGAATTTATTTTCTGATGTTTATGGAAGAACGAGAAAGGCGGCTTATAAAACGTCGTTGGCTACGTGTGACGTACAAAATATTGCTTCAGTTAATAAAATGATTCTGTCCGCTTTTAACTCTGCACTAATGCACGTGACTGCTTTAATTACCCCTTAAGCGTGTAGGAGTAGCATCGTAGTGCAGTTTATCGTGAAATCCCATTTTAGTATCTTGGTGCTCATATTACATACTCCGCCAGACGAACCCACATTCTTAATCTTTTTTGTTAAAGGAAATGTATAAGAACTTATAATTAAGTATACATGTCCCATTCATAGTCGGGTCTATCATGATTAGTAGGTACTTTAAGGTATTGTTGCTGGCAATTGCTGTATATTTTCTTTTCAGTTTTCTTCGTTCCTTATCATCACGTACTTGTGTTTCTGTGCGTACTCTTCGGTGTTTCGACTGAAAGTTTATCGGTATTATTACTTGGACTCGCACCATCAAACGGACGAAAACAGTTTGCTGTTTAGCGCCATGTAAGTAAACTAGGAACACCGTTTTCACTGACTGTTTCGCATTTTAGTTTGCTTTGTCGCTTGACTCCCCCACTATGTTTAAATTTTCTGGGCGTAATCCATCTTGATGTGCACGTGACGAATGACCCAAGTTCTACAGTCGAAACCGCATATACTAAAGTAACCGTCTTTTACACTTTAATAGCTATAGTAAACGAAGAGTGACACTTTATGCAGAAAATGTACCAGAGTTTCCGTCGCTGTTTTAAATTTGTTCCAATCAGCCGATAAACACATACTCACTACGAAAGATCGATATTGTACGATGTTCAGCGTGATCGTGCCGTAACTTGAAAGATTTACCGTCACTCTATTCATTGCATTTTCACAGATTTTGTAGCTGGCCTGATCAACATGAAGAAAACAGTAGCGAAGGAAAGTTTATAATCGTTTGAGTGTCCGACTTCCTTATCCTTTAATAATGGGACTATTCTGACTCGTCATTCTATAACTTAATGATGGCGCACTGATCTCCATTTCCATGCCATCCGCTAGGAGTGCCTTAATTTTGTAAAGACAGTCGACTGCAGCTCTGTGGCGAGCATAATGTTCAGTCTTCTATTTTAGTTCCACTGAGTGGTACTCCTTTATCAACCTGGGAAGGAAGAAATGCGAGTGACGCTGACCCGTGCTCGAACCGGAACCTCTCAGTGCTGAGATCGGCGAGCTACTAACTGAACAACCATGATCTAAGGCAACGTGTAAATTTCTTGCTCAAGGGAATTTGTGGTTACGAATAATATCGCATTCCCCGTAACCGAATAATGTGCCTCCTGAGTTTGAGGCCAACCTCTTAGGTACTCTATCACCACGCAGCAATCAGCATAAAATGTAGCCTGTAAATTTAAGTAAATATGTAGATAATCTTTAATTTTTTGTTTTTTCGTTTTCTCTGCAAATAAGGATGTTGTCAGCTGTGGTAATCTGCTTGATTTTAGATTATGGGTCACATGGACGTAATACCGATTATTTCTAATGGATTTAACGTTTACTTTCCAATGGCAGTTTTGGTACTGTGTGTGTTTACTTATTTTCGGTTGGGCATCCGACTGCTTCATTTTATGGGCTTTGAACAGTTCATTGGCGACGATGAGTTAACGGTCGAATTGGTTCAGACCGGCAGGAGTCTCGTATTCGCAGGTAACTAATATGTCCCGTGCTGGTTATACTCTTTATCTGACTTGTCCTTGTTATGTGTGCACATCGAACACAGGTCAGTGCTTCTTTAATTTTCTCAGTTTTCTGCTTCTACCACTGCCCGTCGGATCGACTCAACTTGGATGGCCGAGTAAACGTTTGTGGTTAAGATGAACCACGCGTTTTACCGGTTGTCTCTCAGGCGAGCCGCTTGACCGGCTCGTCTTCTTTTGATCCAGAAAAACCCGTGATGGTTACGAAAAGAGCGAAGAGGAAGGTCACTTTCCGGGATCAGGTTATGAGTGCAAAGTTCGACAATGGACTCAAAGTTCAAAACAAAATCATTATGATCGATATCATTAAAGCCCGGTAGAATGGTTCTCTCCAGAAAAAGGCATTCTAATCACAAGCCTGCATGGAGGTATTGACCAAGGTCGGCGTTAATTCCCAGAGAAAGTTTCATGAACATTTTTCATCACATCGTGTGTCCCTTGAGATACTTAGTGAGAAAGATCGAAAACTGATGTAATAACGTTTCAAAATTTTCATGTCTTGTTGCCATCTTTCTGAAAGGAGAATGGGGTTTTCATGTCATATTACTTCTCTTAATTTTATGCGTTTGGCTTTGGATAACTACGTTCATATAAAGTAATGCTTTTAGAACGCAAGCAGATTCAAAGAGAAGCTGACCGAAAGAAGCGAAATCTGTTTTGGCGAGAGAAACTTGGCGAACGTGAATTTTCAGATGCACTGAGAGAAAGTAAATTTTCACTTTTTTTCAGTTTTCCAGAGAACAATCAGTTAAAATGTAAATATTTATCTTACTTTTCTTGAGTCATTTTTTTCAAGTCTAATATGAGTTTTAGTTAACTTAAAGCGTTATATATTTTAGACGGTCGTGTCTTACATTAGTTTTTTACAGCTAAACGTTCGGCGTTTGTCGCCGATACTTCTTTAAATGTTGTTTCTGACAAAGCACGAATCGTCGACAACGAGCAGATATCAAATTTCGAAGACATTACCTTGTACGATCGCGGTCAGCAGAATTTCAGGTCCTACGGGACGCCGGGTACTGGGAAACCAGGAATATTTGATGATATTTGAAACTGTTTTTTATGTTTCGTGTTTATGAATTCTGAACCTTATTTCCATTCCTCCATGATTGTTGTACATTTGCAAGTATTCTCTATTTTTTTATTGTGCTAGTGTTTGTATTTATTTACTTTAGGTTCAACCGTTGTTTTCCAAGTAATTCTGTTGTGCTGTTCTGAAATGCTCAGTTTGGCTTCTGTTTTTCCTTGTTTTCTTATAACCTACTGATAACTTGCAAGCAGTCTGTGTTCATAGACATTTGTTAAGGAAATATTGATATTTTTAGCATCGCCGCTACCTGAGAAAGGAGAGGGCTAGTTACCGCGGTAAAATTTCCGGTGTAACCTAACCACCTACCGATCACTATATTACCGTTATCGAACGTTATACTGACTCAGCCATCGCCCGGTTTATCGAAGGTCGCGCAGACTGTCAAAGAACTGAGAAGCTGGGGCGTAGCACCACCGCAACACGCCCGCGCGGTGCCAAAGATCGACAATAAATGACGACGTTTCCAGTCATTAGCAGAGCCTCTATCTATTCTGAACGTTGCCAGCTGACGGCGTAATGCCATTTCAGTACGTCAGAAAACGCTCCGCGAAACTAAAACCGACAAGCAGAACTTATAGTCGAAAATTGAAGCACCTTCTCATTTAAAGAGGAAGAGCAGAATCTACTGGATGACACAGGAAGGTATCAACTCGAAATAGTTAGACTCAGTCAACGAAGCGCTGTGGCTGTGAAGTTCTGAACTTTTCTGGGTGGAAGCTGTTCCACTCAGGCGTCGGCAATACGACGCGCCCTCAAGCCAATGTTAGTGTTCTGGTAGAACCCAGCCTGGCTGAGAGAATCACTGAATGGAAGCCTATCTGTGGAGCAGTGGCAATTCTGCGAATGAAGCTATAA